TTTTTTTTTTTTTTTTTTTTTTTTTTTTTTTTTTTTTTTTTTTGTCAATCACAAATTTTTAATTCAAATCCTGGCTTGGCCACATACTAGCTGTGTGATCTAGATAAATAACTAAACCACTCTGAGCCTCAGTTTACTTACATATGAAGTGTAAGTAATGACAAAATGACCTTAGGCAAATTACTAACTCACTGTTTCTGTTTGTTTATTTATTTATCATTTATTTTGAGAGAGCAACAGAGCGTGAGTGGGGGAGGCGCAGAGGGAGAGGGAGACAAAGAATCCCAAGTAGGCCCTGCACTGTCAGCACAGAGTCCAGTGCAGGGCTCGAACTCACAAACCATGAGATCATGACCTGAACCAAAATCAAGAGTTGGACACTTAACTGTCTGAGCCACCTAGGCGCCCCTGTTTCCTTATCTTTAAAATGGAAATGACATTAGCATCTACCTAGCAGGGAGGTGATGATTAAAGGAGGTAACAGCAATGTTAAGAGCAGAGAACTGTGCCTGGCATGCAGCAGGCACTCATAGGGACTGTTGACATTGTGATCATGTTACTACCCCTGGGTTAGTGTGAACAAAGTCATCTAGAGAAAGCACGAAGCTGTTGTATGATACAAAAAGGCCACTAGCAGTGGTAGCACTTTTCCCTTCTCCACCTGAAATGACCCACAGATCACTCTACTTTCTATTTATTTCTTCTTAACTTTATTTGATAACCATCCCATTTCTCTGGTCATTTCAGAACCAGGCATTAACTTTTGCTTTCACTCACATCTAGGTTGTGATGAGAGATGAGAGATGTCACTGCTTTGAGCATTTCCTAAGATAAAGCTCATTCTCCTTAGCCTGGCCTTGAGTAATAGCCCACATGTAACCTGCAACTTGCTCCAAACTTATATTCTACTATATCCCAGCCAAACTCCAGTTTCCAAAATGACTTGTCCAGCTTTGATTCTTCTTCAAACATTTGAAGCTTTTGCATTCTTACTTCTGTTTTACTTTGTTTTTCCCTCATGCCATTCTCCTCAGAATACCTTGTCCATGATTTTTGCTTTTCCAAATGCAACCCATGTTTCAAGGCCTGGTTCAACTCTCATTTCTTCTATGGAGACTTCTCTGAGCCCATTCTTTTTTTTTTTTTTTAACATATATATATTTTAAGTTTATTTATTTATTTTGAGGAGAGAGAGAGAGAGAGAGAGAGAGAGAGCGCGCGTGCGCAGAAGCAGAAGAGGAGCAGAGAGGGAGGGGGAGAAAGAATCCCAAGCAGGCTCCATGTGTCAGCACACAGCCCGATGTGGGACTCGATCCCACAAACTGTGAGATCATGACCTAAGCCAAGATCAAGAGTCAGACACTTAATCAACTGAGCCACCCAGGTACCCCCTCTGAGCCCATTCTAATCTCCCTGGTAATCTGTGAGCTATTTTAAGATTGATTCTTTATTACACATAATGTGGTGCTTTGTACAGAGTAAGTGCTCAAACATAAGTTCGTTGACTGAATTCCGGGATAAATATCCAAGTATTCAACAACTTTTTCTGTACAAATATAATTGTGATTATTTTCCCATTCAAAAAGAGCCCTACCCTCAGCCATGCCTGACAGGGTATAAGAGGGGGGCTATCCGTGCTTACCCAGCAGAGGTGTGTACCAGCATGTATGTTTGAAAGTCAGGGGTGCCTGATGTATTCTTGCTTCTTGACTGCTATATTGTTTATGGCAACACTGCTTCTGAAGAGAAAATTAAGTACTGTTAGGTATCTAAAGGCATGTAACAGTATGTTTCATTATCTACTCTCTTTATCTCCAAAGGCAGAAAGACTATTACCGGTCTCAACCTTGTGAGAGAGGTCCAGAAGAAAATAAATGATGTCAAGTTAGAAGTAAATAAATGATGTCTTGAACAAAACGTATACTTTACCTTGTGGGTAAACTATAATTCTCATTAAAAATCACAGTTCAATAATTTAACAGAATTATATCAATTCCCAATAATCGACATTCTCATATAAACAAGAGCTTTGAGGAAAGAGGTATGGGTGAGGGGCAAGCTTACTTATACAATATTTCATCATGATACCACAATCAAATTTAAAATATTGCCATACCGTAGGGTCTACCAGCATTGTATGCATGTGTGTGATAAAGAAAAAGAATAGGAATCCATTGCCTCATCTCATAATCTCCCAAAGAAAAGTGGTAGAGTTTAGAGTTGAGACTACTGACACATACTGGACTTAACTTTCTATTTTGGCATAGTAGTGGTTTGCAACAGGCACTTAAGTCGTTTCAAAAAGCTTAAACTTACCAGTTTTTCTTGAAGAGGTTGTTGAATTCCATCCGTGCAGGACAGGGGATCATAGTGAGGAGATTCCTCATCTAAACAGCTCTGTCATGAGAAAATGGTGGAACATATTCAAAGACAGAACGATGACAGAGTCAAAGAAAGATGCAAAACATATTATGCTTAAGAGAATATATGATGCTACCTGAGGAGAGTAGTTATTGGCCAGTTCTTTCTAGTGTTCAACTTTAAGGGAAGAGGTTTGTAATTGTAAAGCTTTCATTTTCTTTTCCTCATTACTTGTTTTAGAAATGAAATCCAACTATCAGGGACAGGAAACACAAGAGCTCGGTCATTGAAATCTTTAGGCAGAGGCCAAAGAAGCTTGGTGGAGACATGTCAGTGTAGTGAAAATGGTGTCTATGAAAATTTTATAGCTATCAAATTGTGGCCCTAGTCCAAGAGGTAGATACGTATCGATCACAGTTATGCTATAATATAAAATCGTATTGGTGTTCCTAATATGATTAGAGAACATTTGGATGTGGAGGTTTTTCCACTTCAACTTATTATAGGGGGCTTTCTAGGCACTCTGCCTAGCTTAGTCTCCACATGAATAATTTTTGTTCTACTTAAACAGATGTGCCTGCAATACACCCTTGGAAACAGATACATGCAGACATCACCCCTCTCTTTCTTCCCTTCTCCAGTCCCTCCCCCTCCAGTGCCAAACTTACCCTTCCTTATGTTCCTCATTTAAGAACAAAAAGGAGAAATTCACCAAGTATCATGAGGGAAAGAAATACATTGAACTCTGCCATGGATATATTGAGATATCCAGACAGAAAGGAGTTGAAAGTTTAATTCAGACAGGAGAAAATAAGAGACAATAACCATCCCAGCCCGTCCAAGAGTACACATTCAACAGTATCAGAAAGGAAGTGCCTAACACTAAAAAACTGGCCCTTTGCTAATAGATAAATTCTCAAATGTTTCTTCTCTGAAAGATGTTATTAGAAGCCATTCACTAACGTGAGTTCTCTCCTCTTGTTTTGCTAAATGCTTTCAGTGCATAAGAGAACAAAGTCCCCCGGAGGATTTTCTTCTAAATTGGTTATTTTATAATCAAAATCATTATTATAAATTAGCTTCAAAACCTTACACAGATTGGACCTCTTCCCCACAGTAAACACACATCACAGGTTTTTTTGTTTGTTTTTTACCTGAAACGGTAAGCCATGGCGTCGTCCTTTAATTAACTTCTTTCTCAGTGACTCAACTGTTGCTATAAAAAGAATTCATAACCAGCTTAATATGGACGTTAGTAACCCGCTTTTTCCCCTGGTTAATTTCATAAACTTTTTAACAGTTTTAAATTTGGGGCCTGAGGAAAGGAGAGGGAAAAGCAATGACTTCTGAGAACACTGTTCTCAAATCATGTCCTGGGGCAGTGGATACAGAGAACAAAGGTTGGAGAGGCTAAACCACTATCACTCTTGGGTATTAAAATTAACCTTGGTAGATGCAATTGTCTTCTAGAGGTGAGTCATAGCATTAGTTCACCTTCACATAGGAATACACCTGAGAGGTCATCAGTCCAACTGCCTACAAGGTAGAAATCCTCTCTCCAAGCAGCTTCTGCTGGAGCTATGAGTGACGGGAGCCCCAGAATCCTACAGGTACATCTGCGATCATGAGAACGTTGTTGTCCAGAGGATTTCAATGATGACTCAGTATGCATGGAGCTGGGCTCAGATGCATAGGATAATGCTCAACTCGGTGTACTCTTTCGTGCAATTAAAAATATTTATCTTTCTACTTAAGTGAAATCTGTCTCCTAGTAACTTCGAAATTCTCATCTCTGGAGCAACAGAAATGAAGAAAAAAAAATACCTTTTTAACCCTGAGCTACATAGTAACATATCACTTATTTGACAATCCTTACTCTTTGAAATATAGCCAAGAACCAGAAAACAGACCCAAATCTTTTGAACCAAAATAGATGTTGATATGCCTGCCCTTTATTCATGTGGCAACTCCTCACACTTCCACTCATGCAGTAGGCTCTGGATTTATCTATAAATCTCACAAGCTCTGACTGTGTTCTCAGCCCACAGATGATTAAAAACAAATGAGGGTAGGAAGTTCTGCTAGATGGAGACATATTAATAGCTACCACTTTTTTTTTCTTTCCTTTTTTTTTTTTTTTATATCACTAACAGCCAGGAAAATTAACAGCAAATATTCTGGTGTCCAAAACACATGTGAATCTGGTGCTTATTTTAAAGACCAACAGTTTTATATCTCAATAGCCTGAAGAAATTCTGAACCATGAAAATAATGTTAATATATGTGAAAAGTACATAATCTATAAAATTATTTTTTCTAGGAAAAAAGTCTTGAAAAAATAAGTAAAATTCTATTTTGTAAGACTTTTTTTGGTAAAAATTACTTATTTTGCAACTAAGCTTGACACAGTGTTACTGGGCCCACCAGGGGGAAATTATCTTTTTAAAAATTTCTAACACACTTAAGTAGTAAAATTATTTAAATTTTAATACTTAAAACTCCAGTAAAGATTCAATTTTAGAAAATTCTCTGTGTTAACTCTATTCATAAATAAAGCCCTATACTTCTCCAGACCTACATCTAAGCAATAGCAACCAAACCTTTTAGAAGTGGCCAATATTATGTCTCTGAAGGTAATATATCTCCAAAACACTGTCTCTGGATTTTCCAATTAAGCTTGTGTTTCACAAGAAATAATGAGCTAGTAGAAGGCTGCCTAAATTGCCCATCTGCTTTCCCACCAGGCAATCTTGGGTTTTAGGAATAGTCCATCTCAAGACATTTAAATTGTAAACCTTATTTCAACAGATGTTTTGTGAAATGTGTAGCAAGTATTTCCATATGTTTTATAAGGCAAAACATGTTGCCTTTATGACCCTAATTTGCATTCACCTTTGCATTCTTTTTCATGTGTTTGGAGTTGGATCTGCCATGTCTCTAGGACATTTAGATTTCACATGGAAGCAAATAAAACAATGGCCACTGTATCCCCTGCTGTTGCCATCTGTGATATAGGATGGGACCAGGTGTCTCCGATACTTTGCCTCTGAAGAAGCTGAGACAAAACAACTTTCCAAACGACTATGCAATGAGGCTTTCGGGCAAAGGCCCTGCAATTAATTGGTTGTTGCTAATTTAAAGCCATAGAATTAGAGCTATAATAATGTTAGCTATCAGTGATGGTTGATATTTAAGGAGTATGGACTCTTGTAACACAATATATCTGTCACCTCATGTTCTATAAAAACATGTATTAAAAAACATCAAATTTCATTGAAAACCACAGACAAGGAGAAAATAATTTACAACACATATATCTGTCAAATGACTTGTCTCCAAAATATGTCAAGAAATCCTCTAACTCAAAAACAAAAGGACAAATGTCCTAATTTGCAAATGGGCAAAAGACTTTGATATGTCACAGCCAATCAGCACAAAAATGAAAATCACAAGATACACAGGAGAGTGGCAAAAAACAAAAAGACTGATACCATCACACGTTGATGTTGTAGAGCACCTGGAACTCCCAGACACTGCTGGTGAGAGTGTGAAATGTTACTGACCCTATGGAAAACTGGCAGTTTCTTAAAAAGCTAGTTACAGGGGCGCCTGGGTGGCGCAGTCGGTTAAGCGTCCGACTTCAGCCAGGTCACGATCTCGCGGTCCGTGAGTTCGAGCCCCGCGTCGGGCTCTGGGCTGATGGCTCAGAGCCTGGAGCCTGTTTCCGATTCTGTGTCTCCCTCTCTCTCTGCCCCTCCCCCGTTCATGCTCTGTCTCTCTCTGTCCCAAAAATAAAATAAACGTTGAAAAAAAAAAATTAAAAAAAAAAAAGAAAAAAAAAAAAAAAGCTAGTTACAGCTACACTACGACCTAACAACTCTGCTCATAGATAGATCTTTCTCCTAAGTTAAAGAAAAACATCAGTCCCTACAAAGACCTATACACAGATATTTATAGCAGCTTACTCCATAACACCCCCAAACTGCAAATAACTTGGATGTCCAATAACAGGAGGAAAGATAATCAAATTGTGGAATGTTCATATAAAGAAATATGGTTCAGTCATGAAAATGGCATACCACTGAGAAACAAAATAGTAAGATAACCATTATGTTGAGAGTAAGAAGACAGACACGAACAAGAGTACATACTTAATATCTCAATTCTGGAAGCTAAACTAACCCATTGGGGATAAAAATCAGATTAGAGGCTGATTCTGGGCACCTGGGTGGCTCAGTGGGTTAAGCATCCAACTCTTGATTTCAGCTCAGGTTATCATCCCATGGTTTGGTTGGTGGGATCGAGCCCCATGTATGTCTTTCCGCTGACAGCACAGTGCCTTCTTGGGATTCTCTCTCTCCCTCTCCCCCCCCAACCCCGTACCTCCCCTGCTTTAAGACACACTCTCTCTTTCAAAATAAATAAAAACTTAAAAGCAAGAAAGATCAGAGGCTGATCCCTGTAGTGGAGGAGGTGGGAGAAGGACAGTAACTGGAAAGTAGCACAAGGGAACTTTCTGGGGTTATAGAAGTTCTGTGTTTCGATGTGCATTTGGCAAACTGGTTAAACACTACACTTAAGATCTGAACATTTCAGGATAGGTTAATTGTGCATCAAAAAATGAACATAAACATTGTAAGACCAAAAATAACTGAGTTTATGAGATAAACACAGTTCGGGAGAGATCACTAAAGACGCACATGTACCACTGTAACCAGAGCACTGACCAACACAATTATAAACTATTAGTGCCTTGGGAGAAAATTTGGATCACTGAGACATGCATCTTAAGATGACTGACTAAAGGCTGCCTCACAGGATAATAGAAATGTACAATAACAAAAGCATGGAGAGCTGGAGACATTCAAATGGGATAGTGCTGGTGGGGTGCTAAGAAAATGCAGATGGAAGTAGAACTCTCGGGCAGCAGGACTGCTAAAGAGAACACAGGAGGGACTACAGTCTGCCACAAGCCAGAGCTCTGCAAGGCTGGGTGCACCTCTCTGGGGAGGGAGGCCCAGGTGCAGACCCTTGATTTTAATTTTCTTAAAGTAAAGCTGAAAGGGCTCCTGCTGCCTGTCAGCAGCCAAAGCCGAATGCTTCTTCCTTCCCTGTCGAAGGTTACAATTCCATGCCTACCAACCCAGATCCTATTCCCAGGAAAATCATGAATGAAATGACATAACTTCCATATTATGCTCACATGTCATTATCCATTTGCCGATGGTGAATGAGGTAATGCACGTGGAGAAACGTGCTCTATCAGAACAGACTCTGCCAGGTATGACCAAGCACTAGCTCGTGTTTTGCATGTGTTATTTATAAACTACTGCATTTTCTGGAAGAGGATACGGAGACTCAGAGAGGTAAAGTGATTTGCCCAACATTATCCAGTTTCTCATTTGTAGATTTAGAATCAGAATGTAGGTTTGACTTCAAATACCATGCTCTTAATCATTATGCTATACTGCCTCCTAGATTATTTCATCCATTTCTGCATCCTACATTTGGGAAAATTTAGTCCCCCATCCCATCAGAGCTGTTGAGCAAGTTTTTTTTTTGACTTTGGGTTTTTCCCTCGGTTCTCAGCTCAACACCTATCTTTAAGTGTCTGAATCACGTGAACCTTCTTTCTTGTCTCATTTCCCCCTTGTGTACTAGTGGCTCAAGACAAGTGGCCCTCATCTTGCATCCATCCTCAAAGCCAGATGGCTCTTATCTGTCCCATACCTCATGCCGTTCATGCTAGGGACAGCAAGTCAGAAGAGAGTTTCCAGTGAGCTCATCTAGGTGAAAGCCTTCTCTAAACTATAAAGTTAATAGAGACACTATGCTCAAATAAGGAATTTATGATATACAGGAGCTTCTCGGGTTCTCTTGCCAAGGAAATATTTATAATGTCTAAAGGAAATTAATTCCCTCATCACTGATTACATCAGGGACTCAATAAAGATTTCATGTGGGACAGGAGCAAGAAGAGGATGAACAGCAAAGAGGTGATAGTTTGGATTAGATCAAGTGGTGTATGTTTTGTGTACATTAGAGTCACTCTAATGTGTTGGGTAAATACCCTAGATCTAAGAAGCCTTTTTATTCCCTTTTCAAAACAAAAATCCATTTATACATCTAGAATGGCCTTTGTTAACAAGATACTTAGATACATATGTAGGTAAGAAGCAAAAGAAAGAAAATATGTAAGGAACCATTCCAGAAACTTAGCAGTTATAATGGCATATTTCATGAAGGAAAGCATGTACACTAAGAAATAAGTCCAGTCCTGGTGGCAGCTGAAAGCTTGAATATTACTTATTCAATATTAAGTTCAGGACTTCTAATCAAATGTCATAAACAACTTCCTAGTTTCAGTTTATGAACACTGTCATTGACCTTGACATTTGGACAAAATAACTGAATCTGCACCCAATCTGCTAATGAACCATTCTTAGATACAACAGAAAGTAATTGCCTTAAACACTTAATAAATGTATTAAGCTAACCAGAAAGTTTCACAAGAGCTAAATGGATTTGAATATTTTTGTTTTCTGACTCAGAATTCAAAAGTCTGACTCAGAATTCAAACAGCATGTGGTGGCAGTGGTAATGGTGGAATGTGCCAGGATGTGTTTATGTGATAACTGTCCTACCTCGCTGACATTTATTCACAGTCTATCTGGAAAATCTGCTGTACAGAACATCTCAAAAATATGTGCTACCTAAATTTCCCTCTTGTTGCAAGGTTGATTTTAAAGGGCATTTTTAGAAAAATCCTCATAAGTAAATGGTCTTCAGGGTAAAATCTTGATATGTAAGCCTTCTATGGGCAGCAAAAGATACAATCAAGTACAAGAAGTTCAAAAAGCCAGGCAGGTTGTGAGAAACTCAAGATAGAAAGGAAACATCCACTCTATTTTATTCAGCCAGAAAACAAAACAAAACAAAACAAAAACACATGCCTGCGACTCAGGGTAGCTTTCATATTCTGTTTTTAATAATGTTTGGACCAATAAACTGGGGAAGACAAGAGCAAGTTCATAATATCAAGAAGGTATATTTTGGAATAAGTTTAAAAAATTGACTCTTCCAACAAGGTACTATAAGGAAATCAAGGTGGGGGGAGTTGGAGGAGGAGATAAATTCTTATTTTTATTAAACAGTGGGTATAATGCTGATTTAATCAAAGATAAATATAACTGAAGCAAAAGATTAGTCCTCTAAGCACAGTGTCTAAAGCAAAAATACCATAAGCCAAATTTGGAATGCTTTGTTATTCACATCTCAACATGAACACTTCTAATCACAAGGGAACCTTCTCCAATACCTTCTGAGCAATCATAAAATAATATATAGATTATGTCATTTAAAGCCGCACACTGTCTGATGGAGTAAACTGATAGTTAGAATTACTGAAAACCAGCAAGGTCTGCAAGGTTTAAAAATTATAGTAAAATATTGAATAATTACTGTTATGTTAGAACTAGCCAAGTCCTTTAAACTTTTAAACAGCTTTCTCAGAGAGCAATAGAAAGGCTACAAAACAAACAAACCCAAGACTGAAAATCTCCATCTCTATTTCACCTGAAGCTTATAATTCATTTGTTTGTCACCCAAACCAATAACTGTCTCTAAAAAGAATATTTAGCTGGCCAGATAGAACAAAAAGCTAGCCAAATAAGGGCAATTGTCTGATAAATGCTCAAATAAGTAAGCTTTATTTTTACCAAATTATCTTTCTAGAATAAAATAAGCTTATGAATAATCTGCTAGCTGTCACTTGACAATTGTCTCTTCAACTAAGTCCTTAGTAAACATTTATCTACTTTTAGGTAATACAGAAAAATACTGAATATTCTAATTTTTTAAAGCAAAATATATATGTAAAGAACACATTAAAATTTAAAAAGCATTCTCATATATTTAATATTTGGATACACTGAATTCATAAGTATTTTGCCCCCCAAGATAACTACTTAAAAGAAAATAGAGAGGCAGGTCCTTTTCTACCATGTCTTGAGTACAAGTGAGCTAATAAAATCAGAGTAGAATATGTAAGCTATTTGCGATTTCAAATATCCCATGCATACAAGATTTTTTTCCTTGTTTACTTTTACAGGTATTGAGAACTTTAATTTTTAAAGAAATAGCAGTCAGGGCCAAATCTAGCTCATAATAAAAGATCTGAAAGGGAAAGTTAATCGTTAAATCAATCTACTTAGTCACTAGGCAAGCCTCTCTGGAAGCCCACAACTCTGCCTTCTGGAACCATTTGGTTGTCATAAATGCAATAATAATACAGCAGCTGTAATCTACAAAAAATGGCTGTAGTCCTTTTTCTCAGGTGGACTGAATTGGGACATAACAAATATTTGCTACTCACTTTTCAATTTTCTTGTCTTCCGCTCAAGTGTCTGGCAAGTATTCACTAACTCAGTATTTATAGTCTGAAGATTCCGTTGTTCCGAAATTGCGTCCTCTAATTTATGCAGCAAAGACTTAGCTTTGTCACTGGCTGAGTGGGCTGCCCGATCTCGATCCTCAACCTGGACACGTACAGTTAATGCTGGATTTTAGCAGGGTGGCCAGGAAAGAAAGCAATTGAGCGCTCACTGTTACTATGCACACGAAACTGAAAATGTGCTTTTCTTCTCAGGGAAGTGATAAGCCTCTACTGAACTTCTGCAATTCTGTGTTTGCATGGGCTTTGTATGCCTGAGCTATTTCTTCAGCCGTAAAAGTCCTGATATGTCAAGCTGCCTCTTTCTGCAAAGATGCCTCTTTTCATCAGTAGGCTGTTGACACCGCCTCTTTTACAACTCCCCGTTACTTCCTCCGCTCGCTCGCTGCTGGTCGCCAGGGACTGAACTTCGCAGTTCCTCTTTGTTTTTTTTTTTTTTTTTTTTTTTTTTTTTCTGTTCCTCCTCTGTTTTTTACTTCATGGTTTCAAAGACATCTGAGGAAACTTCCCTTTGAATATAAAGTGGTCAAAGGCCACCTACCTGCTCTTCTCCGTCCTCCAGCCATGGGCTGGTTCCGTGGACCTTCTTCCTAAGGTCAGCTTCCGGGTTGACAGCATCTTCTTGCAGTTGTTCAAGGGCTTCTAGTTGTTTCTGCCTGGAGTTAAAAAAAAAAAAAAGGTCCAAACCACAAGCTGTCAGTGACATTTCAACTAAGAGTCACCCCTGGGAAGTTGTGACAAATTGAGACTTAATATACTTCCTCAGAGATCAGAGAAAAAAGTGAAAGTATTTACATACATATATAAATGCTTGACAAATAGAGAATTTTAACCAAAGCAATCATATCGATCAGTTGGCCTGATACTCCTACTTTACAGATAAGGGTATTTGATCTCCTATTTTACACTGGAATATTCAGTTTCCCACAAACTACATTCATAGTAGTTAGTATCAGTCACCAATTGCTTAGATGGTGGCACAATGAGATCACTGTAAGAGGTGGAATATTTACACATCATAGCTAGCCTTTTTTTTTTTTTTGAAAAAAAAGAGAGAAAAGAAAAAGAAGGAAAAAGAAACAAAAAAGAAAAGAAATAAGAGCTTTGTTTCATGATCTTGGCCTTTTCTAAGAGTTGCCCATCATGGTAAATCATGAGTATAGGAAGGGCTGCTCCCAAGCACAGATGAAACACTAGATGTTAGTATTTCCAAGTGAAGTCTTGTCTTTTCTGAAAACTTGACCCCTCTCCCTTTCTTCCTCACTCCAAATCTCTTAGTGTTATTATGTTACCTCTCTTTTGGATCCAACCCTAATCCTCCAAATACATTAAAATGCACCTGCTCTCAGTTAGCTGGTATTATTTAAACCATGTTATGTATCAATATGTCCATGACTATCTGGAAACAACTGAATAAGGACCTTAGCTCAAAGGGATAATAAACTCTGGGAGCTTCAAAGCAGTGAGGAAAGCACTATCAGGTTTAGGCCTTTTGCATGCCTCTCAAACGTTAACAGAGTCAGATTGTCATTGTATATTTACATAAATCTATCCCTAACTACAAGAAGAATCACATGAGAGACCAGGATGGTTGCATAGAATGCTTACCATCATGGTAAACTAGCAAATAAAGCTCTAAAGAAAAATAAGAACTACCTAAACAAACAATATATTGAGCTTTATTTAATACCTTATAGTTAGTCTTTCCTTTTGTAAATTGTGGCAAAAATATTAAATATAAGATCTTTCCCCTTAACACATTTTTAAGTGTTTGTGAACTATAGGCACAGTGTGGTATAGCAGATCGCTAGAAATTACTTGTCTTGCTAACTGAAGCTTTATATCCATTACATTGCAACTCTCCATTTCCCCTTCCTCTAGTCCCTGGAAACCACCATTCAACTTTCTGCTTCTATGAGTTTGACTATTGTAAATACCTCATAGAAGTGTAATCATGACATTTGTCCTTCTGTGACTGGTTAATTTCACTTAGCATAATGTCCTCAAGATTTATCCATTTATCACATATGACAAAATTTCCTTCTTTTTAAAGACTGAATAATATTCCATTTTACACAAACACACTCACACACACACCCATATGTATATATTTTATTTACCATGGATATTTAGGTTGTTTCTACATCTTGATTATCATGAATAATGCTGCAATAAACATGGGTATGTAAATATATCTTCAAGATTTTGCTTTGAATTCTTTTGAACATATACCCAGAAGCGGGAATGCTGGATCATTTGGTAGTTCTATTTTTAATTTTTTGAGGAAACTCCATACTGTTTTCCATAGCAGTTGCCCTCTTTTACATTTCTACCAACAGTGTACAGAGTTTTAATGCTCTACATCTTTGCCTACATTTGGTATCTTTTTGTGTTTTTTGGTTTTTAATAATAGCCTTCCCTAACAGGTATGATTCATTCATCATTGTGAAAGACTCATTGTGGGTTTTATTTGCATTTCCCTGATGACAAGTGATGTTGATCACCTTCTCATATACCTTTTGGTCAACTGTAGGTCTTCTTTGGAAAAATGTCTATTCAAGTCCTTTGCTATTTTTAAATTGGGTTATTTTGTTGTTACTGAGTTGTAGTAGTTCTTCATGTATTTTGAATACCCTTATCAGATATATGGTTTACAAAAATTTTCTTTCATTCATAGGTTACCTTTTCTCTGTTAATTCCTTTGTTGTTCAGAAGCTGTTTAGTCTGATGTAGATCCACTTATCTAGCTTTACTTGCCTTGCTTCTGCTTTTGATGTCATAGCCAAGGCCAATGTCATGAAGATTTTCCCCCAAGTTTTATTCTAGGAGTTTTACAGTTTTAGGTCATATATTTAAGTCTTTAATCCATATTGAGTTGATTTTTGTATGTGGTATGTAGCAAGGTTCACCTTCATTCTTTTTGCATTTGAATATCCAGTTTTCCCAACACCATTTGTTGAAAGGACTATCCTTTCTCCACTGTGTATTGTTGACACCCTAGTCAAAGATGACTTGGCCATTTACACATGGCCATATTATTTCTGGGCACTCTATTCTGTCCTACTCTCTTTAGGCTAGTACCATACTTTTTGAATTACCATAGCTTTGAAATAGATATCTTAAAATAAGGAAGTGTGATACCTCCAGCTTTATGTTTCTTTCTCAAGATTGTTTTGGCTATTCAAGATCTTTTGTGGTTCCATATGAACATCAGAATTATTTTTTCTATTACTGTAGAAAATACGATTAGGATTTTGATTGGTATTGCACTGAATCTGTATATCACTTTGGGTAATATGGACCTTTTGACATTATTAAGTCTTCTAATCTATGACTACAGATGTCTTCACTTATTTGTACCTTCTTTAATTTCTTTCAGCAATGTTTTATAGTTTCACCTCCTTATTAAATTCATTGCTATTTTATTCTTTGGATACTGTTTTAAATGAGATTGTTTTTCCAACTTCCTTTTTAGATAGTTCATTGTTAGTGTATAGAAATGCATCTGCGGGGCGCCTGGGTGGCGCAGTCGGTTAAGCGTCTGACTTCAGCCAGGTCACAATCTCGCGGTCCAGGAGCTCGAGCCCCGCGTCAGGCTCTGGGCTGTGCTCAGAGCCTGGAGCCTGTTTCCGATTCTGTGTCTTTCTCTCTCTCTGCCCCTCCCCCATTCATGCTCTGTCTCTCTCTGTCCCAAAAATAAATAAAAAAACGTTGAAAAAAAAATTTAAAAAAAGAAATGCATCTGATTTTTATATGTTAATTTTGTATGTATGCTGGAACTTTGCTGTATTTATTTTTGAGAGAGAGGCTGAGAGAAAGGGAGACAGAGATTCAAAGCAGACTCTGCACTATTAGTGCAGAGCCTGACACAGGGCTCAAACTCACCAACCGCGAGATCATGACCTGAGCTGAAGGTCAGACCCTCAACTGACTGAGCCAACTGAGCCAAAGGTGCCCTATGTATAAGATCATGTTTGCAAATACAGATGATTTTACTGCTTCCTTTCCAACGTGGATGCCTTTTGTTTCTTTTTCTTGCTTAATTGTTCTGGCTAAGGACTTCTAGGAGTATGTTTCTTAGTAGTGGTGAGAGTGGACATGCTTGCCTTGGTTCTGATCTTAGAGAAAAAGCTTTTAGTCTTTCGAGTATGGTATTCGCTGTGTGCTTTTCATTTATGGCCTTTATTATGCTGAGTAGTTTCTATTTCTAGTATTTTGAATATTTTTATCATGAAAAAGTTAGATCTTGCCAAATGTTTTTCTTCATCATTTCAGATGACCATGTGATATATATCTTTCATTCTGTTAATGGAGTATATCACATTAATTTATTTGTGTATGTTGACCATCCTTACATCCCAGGGATAAATCTTACATGGTCATCGTGTATTATTGTTTTTGATACCTTATTGAAGTTGATTGCTAGTATTTTGTTGCACCTATACTCATCAGGAATATTGACCTGTAGTTTTCTTTGCTTGTAGTATCTTTGGTTTTGGTGTCAGCAAAAAATTGACCTCACTAAAAGAATGGGGAAGTGGTTTCTCCTCTATGATTTTTTGAAAGTTTCAAAAGACACCACCTGGTCCTGATCTTTGTTGGGTTTTTGAATACTGCTTCAATCTCCTTAGCATTTTTTGCTCTGTGCAGATTATCTTTTTCTTACTGACTCAGGCTTGTTAGGTTATATGTTCCTAAACATCCATTTCTTCAAGCTTATCCAATTATTGGTGTATGACTGCTTGCTCATAATGGTCTTTTATGATCCTTCCACCCGCCCCCACACTGTAGCATCAGTTGTAATATCTCCTCTTTTGTTTCTGATTTTATTTTAATCTACTCTTTTTCTTAGTCTAGCTATAGGTTTGTCAATTGTATCTTCAAAAAACACAACTCGGGGGTGCCTGGGTGGCTCAGTTGGTTGGGCATCCAACTTTGGCTCAGGTCACGATCTCGCGGTCCATGAGTTCGAGCCCCGCATCAGGCTCTGGGCTGATGGCTCAGAGCCTGGAGCCTGCTTCGGATTCTGTGTCTCCCCCTCTCTCTGCCCCTTCCCCGCTCATGCTCTGTCTCTGTCTCTCAAAAATGAATAAACGTTAAAAAAAATTTTTT